CGTTCTCATTTACTTCGTTCAGCAGCTTAAGGCTTGTACTCGAAAAAATGCACAATTTTTATCCGTGTGTAAATTTTTTATCCGTGGGTAAAAATTGATGAAAATCTGGGTATAACTAGTTTGGAGTTAATTGTTTACATGTGCAAAATTTCATAACAATCGGTACAGTGGTTATTGAGATGTCATCGAAACAAGAAGCAAATCGCCGGAGAATTTTGGGCGCCGTCATGGATCGGAAGACAACTGGAAATCAGCCATACAACTATGTCTTGGGTGGTAAAATCGTTTAAGGAGTCCCAGATGACCGAGCGGCGGACTGGAAGTGGAAGAAAATCGAAGACAGCTGACCCTGTAAAGGCCCGGAAGATGTTGGATTATTTCAAGCGTAATCCGCACCTTTCGATTCGCGACGCGGCTCTGAAGGCAAAGTGTTCCGCCTGGTTCGTTCAGCAAACCATGAAACGAGCTGAGCTTCGTGTATTTGAGGACCGGAAGGCACCAAACCTGCGTGAGCAGCAAAACACGGTGGCCAAATCCCGCGCAAGGAAGCTGTATCGAGAGTGGTTAACGAAACCGATGTGTGTGGTTATGGATGATGAAACCTACATCAAGGCAGACGCAAAGCAGATACCAGGGCTGGAGTTCTACGTTGCCAAATCACGGTTTGATGTTTCGGAAGACATAAAGAAGAAGAAAGTGGACAAATTCGCCAAAAAATACTTGCTCTGGCAGGCCATGTGCCAATGCGATAAACTGAGTAAACCGTACATCATAATGGGTACCATCAACAGCGAAATTTACCGCACCGAGTGGCTCCAGAAGCGTCTGTTGCCCTTCCTGCGGTCCCACGGAGGCGAGACATTATTTTGGCATTACGCGCGATCGATGTTGGATTGGTACAAAGACAATAACGTTGTTTTTGTACCAAAAACCGCCAACCCCCCAAATTCACCAGAGATTCGTCCGGTGGAAAGATTTTGGGCCATAATGAAGGCCAAAGTTAGAAAATCGTCCAAGATGTTTTGCTGGAGTTGAAGAAAGAATGGATGAAAGTGACCATAAAGGTCGACTCTACCATTGCACAAAATGTAATGAGGGGTCTAAATGGAAAGGTGCGGGCTTTCAGCGATGGAAAGGAAATTGCAAGGAAAGTTTCAAGAAAATCCGACTTAAAATAAATTTTTGGCGAACACTTTTGTCTGTTGCATTTTTTTCAAGTACAGGCCTTATTAACTAAAGTATCGTACCAAACGCATAATTGACTTGTTAACTCTGAAATCATGGATTTATTTGAAGTTTTCTGCTCGGTAGGCCCAAAATGGGCGATTAGGCCGGAGTAGTTCTCTACCCTATTTGCTCTGAGTACGGCTGACTTGCCCCTTGGTATTGAGACCTGGTTCACAGCATAAGATTCATGATATGGATGTGTGTCACAATAAGTGCTCAATTAAGTGGAAGACACATGATAATGACGTGTGAAATTTTTTTAAGTGTGCGAACTTTGACTTCTAGAGCAACATGTGATAAGGGTCTTTGTGCCGAATGTAAACAATTACTTTAAATGTTGGATGCTCACGATTTACCACGAGCCCACGTAAACTAACTACACCATCTGATCTTACTCTCTCAAGTTTGCTTGAATGAGTCTAAATCCACGAGAAATCAACTTTTAAAGCCATTACTACATTTCTTTTTACAGTCCTTCTCACATGTTGCTCTAGACTTGACTTGACAGATCGTTGACAATCCCAGAGAGAATCGCAATAATCTAGGGAATGCTGAAGAAGTCTGGAGGAATTTTGGGATAATTCTGAGAAAATGCATGACAAAAAAATCTAGACGTCATTTTTAGAAGCATACAAAAGAAAATTCCTACAGCACTGCTCATCAAAATTGTGAATATTCGATGATTTAAAACTAAAATATAATTACATTTTAGTATCTACATTTGAAAAGTATTCAAGAAAAACGAAGTAGGCTCTGCCCACGAACGGTTGGTTTTGTTTTCGCTGGCGCTGATTTCATCTGTTTTTTTAGTGATATTGTAATTAACGTGAAAAATCTGGGACAAGAATTTGTTTCGAGTAGGTGTGTTGCTGTGGTGTCGCGTCGGTTTTTTCATTTCGCTTGTTTTTGATGCTTTGCCTCCCTCCCAAGAAGAGTTTTACCGGGTATTTTTTTTTTTCTTTTCTTGGTGCTGGCGTTCTGCCTTCCGGAGGATGCACGCGAATGAGGTGTCAAGCAAAAATTCGGTGCAAATGAAAAACTTCGAATGTGATTTAAAATGTCGTGTTGGGTTGAAAAAACAGAAGATTTTTTCGATTACCGCTAGTGAACAAACCGGTCCCTTTTTGGATGCAGAATTTGGTGAGATCCATCTGATTATAATCAATCATAAATGCGTATTTCCATATAATACTAAATACGCGCCAGATTTCGAAACATCACATTTCGAAATCTGAAAGTGTGTTTGCAGTACCATTATTCATATGATAACGGTAGTGTTTACATGCGGGGCTTATTGTATGTGAAAGTAACCTCGGAATGGACGTGAATTACCAGGCATTCTGAAATGGGTTGCTGAATCTGCAGTAGACAAGTTAAAAATTAACTATTCAACATTCCTGCCAACAATCAATTCGAAACTAACGAAACTAAATTGGCTCACTACTTGACTAGCCTATTGGTCCCAAGCAAATCGAGTAACGTATCCCATTCTAGTCGAAATTCCAGTACTACACTATGTTTGTTTTGATTCGCTATGAAAGTTTGACAGATAAAATGAGGGGTTCGTGGATTTTCCTATGTTTCGAGGGGTGAATCGATTAGCTTGGGACCGAAGATAGTACCAGAGCTGAGCCAAAAAATTGAGCTCGTTTCTTCGGGACCTTCTGGTCTTAGAGTTACCTCTATGTTCCTACCACGTCGCTGCATACCCCCGGACAGACCAACAAAGAGGTTACACAAGATCAGGACCAGTCCAAACTGAGCCAGGAAAATCAGGACTACCAGAAGAAGCTCGAACTACAAGAGGAAAAATACCAAAAGGAAATCCCGAGTTTCAGAGAGATGATTTGGAAAATTGGTTCGAAAATTACAACGCTCGGGAGTTGAGATAGATTTGAGAAGCACAAATGGTGACTCAAGATCAGCAGCGGACGCTCTACATGAAGCTGGACCAGGTGAATGGCCGCCAGAATCGAATACTCGCACTGCTCTCGGCTTAGGGAGCTGCAAGCTGCAGCTGCAAGCTGCAGCTTCGTTTATGCTTTGTTTCACGGTGGCTTCAAAAACCAATGACTGTGCAATCGATTGGTCAAACTTGAATGGGTGGATCTCATCAGCGTATGAACGTATGAACGAAGCTTAAAATTATGCCGACATCAACGCCACTGCTATCACTGACGGAAGCTTCAAGAACCAATGGCCGTGTCAGAGGATTGATTATCACGCACCGTTCGAACTTCACGAAAATACCGAAAGCTCACTTTTTGAAAAGCGGCGCCGGTGATGTAGTGGTAAGCGTGATTACGTCTCACCCCAGCAGGCCTGGGTTCAATCCCAGTCGGCGTCGACGGGATGTTCTGAGGCATAACATCTCTGATCACGCCTTCCTTCGGAAGGGAAGTAAAGCCGTTGGTCCCCGGTTCATGAGTTGATGGGTCGATAGGTAGGGTCCAGGTGTGAGAGCTGTCTCCCTGGCGTCGGTAGTATTGGTACTCCGTACGGTAAACAAGATCGACGGAAAACAAATAAAAAAAAAAAACTTTTTGTTGGTCATGTTTTGCGTGGCATCCATCCACGCAACACTTTACAGTCTGAGAAATTATGAGACTTTTGTTCTGAATAATTATTATAATGAAAGAATGCATGAAATTCATCACAATACATCAGAAAAATGGTCACAGTGATAAAAATTCCCAACAAGGATTTAAAAAAAAAATGCACGTAATTGACTCAACCAAAATTGAAATCAGATTTGATTTGCTTGCACTGTCAAATTACAGACAATTTTCTTCATTCATGGCCATCTTGGTCTTTGCTATAATGGAAATCGTGATATGTCAGAAAGGGGTGATTCAATTTCTATTACACACGAGCGTAAAAAGCTGGATACACTCTATTTAAATTCTACCTTTTTATCTCACAGAAATGGTACTCAGTTACTGAGTAAACACACGTTTGAACTGCAACTGAGTAACATTTCCGTGAGATAAGGAAAGAAAGCAATAACATTCTACTCAGTCACTGAGTAGCATTAAAATAGAGTCTACCAAAGTAGACAAAAATGTCTAAACATTTGACCAAAAGTATATGTTCTAAGATGTTGATCAATTTTGAAGTGATCATTGCGTTCATTTCAGAAAAGTTAGCAGTTTTGATAAGCTTCCAAGTAGTTATAAAATCAAAAAATGCACTTTTTTCGTTATTGAAGTTTTTATCATTTTTTTTTTCTTTCTTGACGAAAATTTGTAATATTTTTTCTGTGTGTGTGTGTGTGTGTGTGTGTGTGTGTGTGTGTGTGTGTGTGTGTGTGTGTGTGTGTGTGTGTGTGTGTGTGTTTTTCTTTTCTAAAAAGACAATCCAGTCTGCTACAATTTTTTCTCAGACGTCATTTCGACTAGAAGAGGCTCTTCTAGTCACGCTATAAATTATTGAAGACATCGAATACACTATTTTGAAAAGGGGTTGTTCAAACTTTACGAATTCCAGCACAAACTTGGCTCATTGCCCCTAGGGGGCTGTTCATTAACTACGTAGACAGTTTTTTTGATGATTGATCCCCCCTCCCCCTGCGTAGACAATATTCCATACAATAAGTTTAAAATTTGTATGGGCCTTGGATAATTGCCAATCTCCTCCCCCCTAAACTGTCAACGTAGTTTATGAACAGCCCCTAGTGAACAATAATGCTAAGTTTCGTTGAATTCAAAGAGATAAAATATAAAAATTTGGAATTGCTGTTGGGCGGAATTAAAATGTATAATCTAGTAGCCTACCTTTTTCTGTCTCAATTTCACCGCCAACTTCAATCGATTGAGGTGCATCCGGTCACCGTGCTCGAACGCCGGCCCCGTGGGGTCATGATTCAGCAGCACTTCCAGTTCGTGGGAAGACCGTGTGTGATCCAACAATGCGGTGGCAAAATCCTGACACTGACGTCTCAGTTCCTGATACTCGTTCTGCAAGCAATATGTCATGAATGTGTTGAATCAAGTAAACATCAAATAAAAAGGAAATTACCTTAAACTCATGCTCGAGAAAGCTCAACCGCCGCAGCTCCCAACTCAGCTCGAATGCCGTCAGAATGGGATCCTTCGAGGATAAGGCCACCAGGGAAGGACTGGCCAGGGCACGATATGCATTGATCCGCGATCGAGAATGCCTTAGGGAGTCCTCTTGCCGGGAAGTTACACAATCATCGCATCCACATCTGACAACGTATTGACAAGGAAATTAAACAAACAAATACAGTGTTATTCAAATGTGAATTGATTTTCTCAACATGATTTGTGCCATAAAAAGAAGAAACATCAATCTGGATGCAAACCAAAACAGCTTGAAGTAAACTTCTTCGGAAACAAAAGTCGCGCCGGAAATCACAGCGGAAAAAATGTCCTCGTTCCAGAGAGGAGTAGGGGAGAAAATTCCAAATGAGAAAACTTTCCCGACCTGGACGAGAGGGACGATGTAGAAGATTTGTCCCGGTGAATATTTCTTCTTATTTTGTCAATCTCGTTTATCCTCGCTGTCTTTCGGTGACGTTTTATTTCCCGTTACTTTCGTCAAGGCCGGAAGTCACAAAACCAGAGACGACAAAATTCCCAGAATCAAAGACCTGCAACTCGGTGGCCTTCCGTTCTGGGTTGTTGTTGATTTAATTTCCATCGTCGACCCACTGTCGACAACTTCAATTTGGAACGAAAAAAATTCTGAAACGGTCGCAAGTTGTGTCTGAAAATGTTTTCATCTCTTTGTCGTTGTCATGGTTACAGACGGGAGTAAAAATGAGAAAATTCTTCAACACCAAATTTGCAAGGTGGCTTGCTGCTAATGAGCAAACAAATTTCTAAAAGCTTAGGCGTGACCTTCTAGAGCTTCGTTGTCAGAGGCACTTCCCTCACTGACAGATGATACGTAAGAGTGATGCAATGCTTACAAAGGATGAATGTGCTAATTGCTAACGGCTGTTCTGCGAAATTCAGCAAACAGCAAATTTTTGATTAATTAGTTCCATTGAAATCGGATTAACGAAAATAAACTTTGAACTCTAGAAATCAACTTCATTCGATGGATTGTTGGATTATCTCACTTCTAGGTAATGATAAACATGGGACGGGCAAGGTGCACGCTGAAGGTCATGAGTTCAAATGATATTAGAATCGATTCATCTAGTTTTCACTGGAAATTATATGTATGATGATTGATATCAAGATACTCTATAGCACGTAATATAGGCTGTAGTGTGAACGTGGTATAACCTGACATCATGCGGCATCGGCAGTGTGGCTCCTCGATCCAGCAAAATTTTGATGATCTCATAGTTGTCTCGATGGGCCGCCAAAATGAGTGGTGTAATATCCGGTGTGAAGGTTGCCGTATCCGGTGGTAGCGCTTCCCAACTCTGAACAGAACCGGAAACGAAAAAATAGCATAAATCAGTCACATCAGCCACAGACTGACGCCTCCGGGATTTGCACCGGACACTTACATGTGGATCCCCATTTTTGTGGCTGCTATCTTCGTGGTCCAGCAGCACTTCAACCGCCTCGACAAACTCCTCCGAGATGGCGTGCAGAAGGGCATCCTTAGTGTCCATCCGATGATTGATGAGCAACTCCACCATCTCGAGATTCTCGTTGTCGATGGCCATCAGCAGGGCGGACCTCCCCAGCGGATCGACACAGTTGATGTTGATGTGTGCCTCAGCATTGGCCTTCTCCAGTATCCTGTTGTGGACCGGAAGAGAAAGCGAGGAGCAAAGTGTGAATGTCATGAAGTACAATTTGCGTGCTCTGGTGGAAAGCACCGAAATCGTTTAACCAAAAAGCATACCTTCGGGTGCTGGCGACATCGCCTCGTTCGACGGCGAGCAGATATTTCTTCTCTTCCAGGGATAGGGCCGCTATCTCCTGGTGCGGTCGAACGACATTCTCTTCCTCCATCATGCCATGGATGCTGTGTCTCTGTGTGATGGAATATTTGTGTGAAAGGGAAAGAATATAGTAGGCAAATAAATTCCAGTCACGGAAACACGAGACTGGCAACATCTGCCACGATGCCGGTGAAATCGACACGTTTGCAGTTGTGGTTTGAGGTGGTAAAATTTGCTCATAAGGCCACGGCACGACTCGGCCAGCAGAAGGATTGAGTTTTGGTTTGGTTGACGAGGACGATGATGGCCATGATGATGTTTCCAATCATAATTTGACTTTTGACTAATGTTTGATGAATGTTATTACACAGTATAGTGATCGTTGGACCGGCGGCTATTAGGGATAAGTTATGTGATGTTATTCATCTACAAATGGATTCGTTGAATTTATGAACAGTTCATGAGTTCGATGAGCAGACATTTAAAAATCGAAATGCAGGTTAATTGTTAATAGTGATTTTAAAGAAAGGGCCATATATTACCAATTCATAGTATAATTAGCAATTGGCGTCAGCTGTGACAACCGAAATTGATAACCGCCACTGACAACTAAAAAAACGAGCTTGAAATACCACAGTTGATCGCCGAATCGATTGGGCTGGTTTTATCCTGTACCGCCCGTGTATTTTTGAGTGTGTGCTCATATGGGTACAATCGCCGCTATAATTTTTGACTGAAAAGCAGCGTATAGTAAATCGAATGGAGCTAGTGCCGGGCCCAAGAAGTGGTCCATTTTGCCTCATTTCACCCTAAATTTGTGATTTTTTTAAATACTCGAGTCGAGTATTAAAGGGTGATACGGTCAAAATTTGGTCAAGGGAAAACGCGTGTAAATCGGTGAAATCGTTTATTTAAAAAATCAAATTAAATTTCTTTTTCAAGTTCAATTAGTATAAAATTCAGGAAAAATATTCAGTTAGGCTTCCGCTTTTCCAAATCCGAATTGCCGGGCCTTACGCTTGACCCCTGCCATCAGATTTTGTACAGCCACCTTGTCCACCTTCTTCGCCGCAGAAAGCCTTTGCCTTGCCTTGAACTGCTGCTCGCCCTTAGCAGTTTTTTGGTCTTCTTTAGGTTCCGCTTGACAATAGCCCAGTATTTCTCAATTGGGCGGAGCTCTGGCGTGTTGGGAGGGTTCTTGTCCTTGGGAACCACCTGCACGTTGTTGGCGGCGTACCACTCCATGGCCTTTTTACCGTAATGGCAAGATGCCAAATCCGGCCAAAACAGTACGGAACAACCGTGTTTCTTCAGGAAAGGCAGCAGACGTTTATTCAAACACTCTTTCACGTAAATTTCTTGGTTGACAGTCCCGGAAGCTATGAAAATGCTGCTTTTCAAGCCACAGGTACAGATGGCTTGCCAAACCAGATATTTCTTTGCGAACTTTGACAGTTTCATGTGCTTGAAAACATCTGCTACCTTTCCCCTTCCTTTTGCCGTATAAAACTCCTGTCCCGGAATCTGCTTGTAGTCGGCTTTGACGTAGGTTTCGTCGTCCATTACCACGCAGTCAAACTTCGTCAGCATCGTCGTGTACAGCCTCCGGGATCGCGCTTTGGCCGTCGTATTTTGTTTATCATCGCGATTTGGAGTCACTACCTTCTTGTAAGTCGATAGTCCGGCTCGTTTTTTGGCTCGATGCACGGTTGTAGACGATACACCCAGCTTATTTGCGGCATCTCGGAGAGAGAGGTTAGGGTTTCGCTTGAAACTACCGGCAACTCTCTTTGTCGTCTCAGCGGCTTCCGGTTTTCGATTTCCCCCCGATCCAGACTTCCTGGCTGTCGACAAACGTTCCCCAAACACTTTAATTACATTTGTAACGGTTGATTTGGCAACTTTGAGCGATTTTGCCAACTTTGCGTGCGAGTAGCTCGGATTTTCGCGATGCGCGAGCAAAATTTTGATACGCTGCTCTTCTTGCTTGGACGGCATTTTGACAACTGAAGAGTGAATTCCAAAATCAAAATAGGAGCAACATTCTACACACACACACCTTCAAAATGAGGGGTGTTCAGGTTTTTTAAATGCAAAATTGAAAGAAATACGTCAAGTTGATATTGACCAAATTTTGACCGTATCACCCTTTAGTACAAGACACTGAAGAAGTCTGCACATTGTAGACGAAATACGCGTATCTGTCAAGGTAAGCAAACAAGGTAGTGGAATTAAATGAAAATTACTAATCCTTCTCTCTCTCTCTCTCATTATACAGGTATTCCACTAAGACGCCCACATTCTTCAGGATACATTCAAAGTGGTTTTTCGTTACTTTATACGTGAAATTGGTTGAAAATGCTAATACTAATATCAACATGAAGCTTTAGTGTGATAATTTATTAACTAGAGAAAGTTCTGACGAGGATAGGTTGATAGTCTCACTAGAGAACAGCCGTGTGAAAATATAATAGAAGTTTAAATTGAGCGCAAGGTCATCAATGCGAAAGTACTAGTCAAACAGACGCTCCTTTACCTAACTCATGCATTAATGGATGAGGGGATTTTAATTGATTCACTCTACAAAGCGACCGCTTAACTTTTACACATAAATTTACTTGAAAACGACTCAGCATCTAAGCACGGTATTCTCAGCTGTAATTTTTCACTCAATTCTGTGATTAATTATCTATGTTGCATGCAGTTAAATTCACCGAACCCAATTGATTCGAGAAAAAAAAAGTAAGAGGTTGTATCCAAAACACGACCGTAGATTTGACGTACACGCAAAAAAAAACATACCTATTTTCGAGAACAAAAAATCACGACAACGTGAACTAACAACTGCTTCAAATTCATGACTTATGTGTGATTTTTGTTTCTACTTTCGTGAACGTTGTTCAGGCAACTGTCATTTTAGTGTAACGCATGCGAAAAAGGTTTTCATCTTGAATTCATCATTCAGTGTTATGTGCAAAAGTTAAGTGAAAATCTGTGCAAAAATTAAGTGAAAAGAGGAAATTGTCGCTCTGCTGCTGCGCTAGCTGCAATCAGTTGATACAGTCGAACATGTACTCCTTGAACCGTCGGAACTGAGCAACTTTACGACCGATACGTTGCAGCAGCAAATTGAATCCGAGAGGCCACTTATTGTTGAACGAAGCGCCTCCAACTTCTTGAGGAAGGAAACTGCAATGAGTTGATTCAAGATACAACAAGTGACCCACGGAATTCATTGGAGGAACTTCAAGCATCAAGAGGACTCGGACATTTTCAAGATATCCTTCCAAAAGTTCATGGCATTGTGACACCTCAAACGTTTTCATAGATTCAGAAATTCGTTTTTATTTCATATGGGTAATGAAAAAAATAAAGTACTTTACTCATTTGTGCGTACCATAAACGCAGAGCCTTTCTTTTTCTATTCGTCATGTATAATTCAATACTGAAGAGAAGATCCCGAAGAAAGAAACTCTCACGATTCGTTGTTTAAATTCGTGCATTTTGTTCCGATATTCATGAACTTTATTCACGGTCCAAATACAGTCCATGAACTATATTCCTGCTTTGGTGAACTGAATCACCGAAATTCGTGAACTTCAATCATAAGTACGAGAACTAAGTCATGATTTTCAAGAGAAGAGAGATGGCTGGGCTGGTGCATGGAGCGCCGTTACGCAGGCGTTATTTTTATTTTGCGGAACATGGTTCCCGTTTCCATAAGTTTTGTTAAGTTTTGTAAACGAAAAATTGACTTGTTCCGAAATTCGTGCCTCAAGGTTGACAAATTTGGGAACGGATTTTTTCCCGTGTAGCATTACGAATAGTAGTTTTGATGTCACAGCAAAAGAATAGTATATAATTATGAAATAAACCACTCAATCACCCACACTTGCATGCCGCATCCACCTAGCAACAACCACCAGGCATTTCCGAAGCACATGGAAGAACCACCGCGTCAGCACCTTAACGACGGACAACACGCCACGCAACGACACACCATCGAACGACGACCGGACTGCAGCATCAGCATGTTTATGTTTTAAATAGGACCAGTTCGATAATTTTCAGTTCAGTTAGTTTGCGATTTTCATTCAGTGACTTAAACCCGCGGTTTAGTCTTAGTGATTTGATGTAATTAATTAAGTTAAAGTGAATAAATAGTTTTTTTTTTATGTCCCACTCGGACCCACGACTATAATTATATATTAAATTATTTATTAACTCGTTATCAGTGAAAAAGTTCGATAAGTTGAAATTCGGAAGCAATTTGAGAGTTCTGTTTGTAAGGTGCTCTGGTGATGTCCATGTAGTACAAGCCAATCCTGGACGATTTGTCTTGGATACAAGCTCTTACTCTTTACTTAACTCTTTATTCAGTCATTTGTGGTCCTGAAAAGGACCGATGGGTTGGAAGCTTGGAAGCCAGTTTAGAACAATGCTGTGGAAATTTGTCCTCGATGTTTTTGGAGATGATAGCGGTACGGAATTGACATATGTATTAGGGAAAACACATCAATCACAGAATCTGAGCCTACCGGACGGTACCTACGTTTATGCTTTTTGATGCAAATTTTAAGCCTCTTCTATGAATAAGCTTGATAGGAGGTGCTTATAATTTTCAACAAAATACATAGGTACAGTCTGGCATGCTCAGTGCTTGGAATCAATATTTGGCGACTGTGTTAGGGAAACCACTATCCCCATCACGAAAACGCCTCGTTTTCTGATGTCAAAATTACGCATTTTGTCCACAAAACGCACAGAACTTTTGGTTTATTCAATAGAAAATAAAAAAAAGCAAAAATTGATTGGAGCCATTTCTTGCTAAAAAATTTCCAATCGCGAGATATTCGCGATCAATCATATAAATTGAAGATTTTTTTATTTGCTTTTTCTAGCGTCCTGCAGAAAACCTTACGAAGTGTTTCTGGTTATTCGACATGGTCATTGCGCGGTGATTGAATGAACAGCGTTCGTTGAGACCGGATGCAATTCAATTTTGAAATCTGTGTTAGGGAAAGCGATTTTTGCAGACAATCGGTGACCATTTTATCATCATTGCAACACTTGCACATTCGTGCAATTTTC